AGATTTCAAGAAGCAAAGGTTCATGGACTTTTCAAACTCCACATGCAGTAGCGGGGGCAGATGAGACCTATTCTAAAGTAACTCTCCCTCTCCTCCCCCTGTAATATATATAGGGTAAACTGAAGTAGTCAGCACCACCTGCTGTGATCTACAGATGTGCTCCTACTGTGCCATGCTACCTGCTAATGTAGACATAGCCAGTGATGCAGCTAGTGGTGCAATTCCCTCTGAGTGAGTACTAAAATGGCATCCTAGTAAGATGTCAAGGGAAGGAGTATCATGAAAATGTACCGTTTATGTGACGACATGAATGATTACAAGATCCCATTACACTTTTGACAAGTTTATGAATGTTAACCCCAGTATTCTGGCCCAGTCCCAAATCTAGGATTTATATCCTGCTCATCCAGATTCCCTCCTCAGTTCCAATTGGAAACATTACAGTTCACTTCTTGCCCTGTGGCATTATCGAGTGCATTTAAATAACTCCCTCATTTCATCACATTTCATCTCCTAAGAAGTTACATTTCTGGACTGAGCCAAAGAATTGCTTAATATAATTTATATCAGTTGATGAAGTGGTCCGCAAGGAAAGACAAACTGTTATTAAGAATGTATAAAATTGCACCAGTAATGCTAGCTTAAACCAGAACTCTAGCCAGTTTATGGGGGAGAGAGGGAAGAGCTTGGTTAGCTGGGCAAAACTTTTCTACATGTCAATTAGCTAATAAATATATCGATTTAGAAAGTAAAATACCGTAGTAAATAGAGTGGAACCTTCAAAGGCAAGCAATTTAAGTAAGGTGCAGAGCACAGTTGGCCTTACACACTGTTCAAAACTGAGGTGAGGACATCTGCCACATTAGAGCAACATCTGGCATATTAGAGGCGCTAATGAACATGACCATTTTAATTACATTACTAACAAAAACCTGACAGTTAAAACTCACCTGATGAAAGCAACATTGGTGGTATCCAACACTTAACTCCCACTTAAATACTGCCATGATGGTTTAAGTGACTCTGAAGTAGAACGAACACCTGGCCTGTACTGAGGCACTGACACAAAACTCATTGGCAGCAAAACTTTTTTTGGAATAGAAACAGAATATAACACTATCTGTTTTGTTGGGTTTTTTTAAGGAAAAAAAAGATCATTCCAAAATGATTCTGGTCTGACTTTAACTGTGCCCTTGAAAAAAATACTTTGTAGAAGGCAGATGAAATTGTGAAAATTTTAAGTAATTTATAATGTTCTTTGAAAATTACCCTGAAAATCTCAGCCTAAATGTAATGAGGAAACATTCTCAGATATACTCACATGCAGCGCCACATTTTAGGATACTTAAATAACAGTTACACAGAACATAGAGAATAGAAAGTATCAATTTATATGAACTCATTATAATATTCAACTCAGTCAAATCACAGATACATCAACTAGCCACTAGAAGCTTCTATTCCTTGATTTCCTGGAAAAAGGACATCTTGGTGGTACATATCTCTGGGACAGGTGCTTTTCACAGATCCATCACCTGAATCACAATTCAAGTGATTTTATTTATTTATTTATCCCAGGTAACATGACAAACCTGTCACTAGGGATGATGACTTCCAAGCACAAATTTACAATGCCAAGACCTGATTTTTGCAGTAAAATGAATAGACTTCTAGAAGACTACCAGCTGGCATCCAGCTCTGGATGAAAGGGGGAAGTTTAAAAACAAAAGTGACTGCATCTCATGGGACTGATAAACAACACCACCAATAGAAAATAAAATGTTGCATTCCAACTTTACCATCATAAGCCCTTCACTTCTCCTTTTCATTTGGTCGACATATTTTCATACAAATTAGTCTGGGGAATCCATCTTCTAACTTTGGTCTCTGTGAAGGAGTGAAGAGTTTTTTCCTAATCTTCAGCAAAACCTGTTTTCCTGGTTTGGAGCTGTTTGTGCAGTTGGCTTAGCCACGTGCTTCTGTCACCAAAAGAACCTCACCCAGAGTCCAACAATATCTGAACAGATGATGCTCGACATGCAGTAAAAGAAAAAAATAATACTGCCATCAAGGGCAATGGTACTTGGAATGCACCATCTTCCTCTTTCCTAACATAAGCAGAACAGACACATTCATTTAACTAAGAGAAAAAATATGCGTTGAGACTGCATCTTACAGTCCTTACTCACATTACTCATTCCACACTGAAAAAAAAAAAAAATGGGATTAATTAATTGTGCTTATGTACAAAGGATGCAGAATAGTTCTCTAGGCATTCAATAACCCTAAATAAATCTGTCACTCTCTCATAACCTTGCCTTTTCTCCATCTTGCCCTCTCACCGTGCTCTGACCACTGACTACACACTCCAAAAACTTACAATTTATGAATTCTTTAAAAAATAAAATGCTGAAATTGTCTTAGTTATCTTCTACCACAGCCTCTGAGTAAACATGTCTAGATAACACACTACAGCCCATCCACTTAGAATCATGGAGTTGTTGATGCTGGAATGGGCCTCTGGAAATCATCTGGACCACCCCACCTGCTCAGAGCAGGGTCAGCTACAGAAGGTTGCCCAGGACTGTGTCTAGCTGGGTTTTAAATCTCTCCAAGGATGCAAACTCCATAACCTTCCAGTGCAACCTCTCCAGCATCTGACCACCTCCACAGTAAAAAAGTTTTTTCTTACATTTAAATGGAATGTCTTGTATTTCAGCTTGTGCCCATTTCGTCTTGCCCTGACACTGGATACCACTGAGAAAAGTTTGGCTTTGTCCTCTTTACACCCTCCCATCAGGTATTTGTATGCATTGATAAGATTCCCCCTGAGCCTTCTCTTCTCCAGGCTGAACAGTCCCAGTTCATTCCTTCCCTTTTAATTCAACTTCTTTTTCAAGTTTACATTATCATAACAGCAGCCAATAAGTGACAACATAAAAAGGGAACATGTTTAATTTCTAATATTATTAAAATTGAAACATTCAAAAAAGGAAAGTTCACACAGTTATATCACTACCTTATTTGTATACATGAAACACAGCACAACTAATGAATTAAAGATTAATGCTAGGTTTTAAAGAGGATGAGAGCATCAGCTACTGCTTTCCAGGGATTTAAAAAAAAAAAGACTTTGGAAAATGTGTACAAGGCCTATATATCTAACTATGCTTCTAAAGGCCAAGGCTTCCTTATACATGGAATATCCATATACTGCTGGAAGAATGCACATATACATCATTTGCAAACAGGATACTCTTTTAGGATTTTATAGTATCATAGACTATCATATTCTCACAGATTACAAAGTCTTTTATCAATTTTACAATTTTTACAAAGATGATGAACTTGCATTGAATGAGGAGAATATGGATTCATTTACCCAACTCTTCACATTCTGAGAGATTTTATAAATGAACATTATAATAAAAACACATGGATTGAGCCAGAAATGAGAATCAGCCCTCAATTGCTTTAAGTACTTCTCTCCTTTTTTCTATGCTTTCAAGTCCTCTGCAAAGAAATCTCAATGAATCCAGGTTCACAGAAAAGTTTAAGGTTGATATGAAACAACAAAAATGTGTGGTAACGTCCATGTTCCCCTAAGGCATTAGCAGGGTTTGAACAACTAGCCATTACTTCCACAGAGATAAACCCAACTCTCCTGAGCAAAACTTACAGTGAAATCTGTGAGAGGATCATAATACATTCTTCTACAACACCAAGACTCTCCACAAATGAGCACAATTTACTTTTGGAAAAACAACTTCTTTGTGTGCATATATGTGCATAAACATGCTCACATACAAATGGAAGACATGAAATATATGATGTGGCAAAAGCTTTACTAGAAAAAAGAAAGAAGGTGAAATGTTCCAAATTAAAAATGCTCAACTTGAATTCATAAGCCTTATGTTTGCTTATTCTATATTTTTTTCTTTATTTATTAGTTTACTATTCATTTTAAAATGGAGATTACACTGTGGTCTATTAACCTTCACAGAGAAGGCAGGTCTTCTCTGTGTACAATGCAAAAACTTAGGGATTAAGTGAGGGGAAGCAGAACCTTGAGTCAACTCCATATTCCCAACAGCCCAGCTGACAACAGAGAGAAAGAATAACTGGCTACTGGAAACAGTAGCCAAACACTTTCCAGTACAGAAGAAGCTAAGGCCCCTGATGTGACACACTTGTGCAAGCTCATTCCAAATGTAATACCACTGTGCTACCAGTATTTATTTATATACAGAATTAACACAGGTGTGCACTCCCTCCTATAGCCTCCCTATAAAACGCGCGCGCGCGCACACACACAAAGCAATACAGTAGTGAAGAAATTTCCCATCTTTATCTCTTCCCTCCTATGTAATGAAGTAGATCTTCAGCTCTCGCTAAAAGCTCATTCACAGTTCTCTCACATTCACATTTTTCACCTTGGTAAAATAATGATCAATGCAGAGCTCTCAAGCATAAAAAAATTCTTCTGATCAGCAAAGTGCATTTCACATTACATTTCTGAAAAGTAGAATAAATTAAAGGTTTAAACATGACATACACAAAGGAGAAATCAGCAAGCTATCATTTTGAGAATATAAACACATATACAACATGCATACATCAGGACTGGCTTTGAGTTTACATACTGGTGTGCAAAATGAGCAGTGTTTATCCCTGTAAAACAAGAAATTGGACTCCTTTCTTTGTGGCAAATAGCCATAGGAATATTTTGTTCTTTCCCAGTATCTTTCTGTCCCCTAATCAGTCTGTGTATGTGCCTCTACATACTCATGCACTTTTTCCTTACAGCGATTAAATGGAGTGGAAAATCGATGTCTAGAATGACCCTTCCTAAAATTAGTATCCTGTGACCTGAATGCAACAGTGTGAATTGCTAGGTGGGTGCTGCTAGCAGACACTGCTGTTTTTCTGAGAACAAACTTCCTGAATGCCACATAGAAGTTGCAGCACTCCTGTCTGGGTTCACTGTGCACAGTACTTACGTGATGGTGTCAATCATATCCAGTCCCATTTCAACACAGCAATGGGCATGATCTGTTTTGGGCTGGGTCAATCCTGATACACAGTAGTAACAGTCTCCTAGGATTTTTATTCTTCTGCAGTGGTTTTCCTTTAATAAAAACAGAATGGGAAAAGTTTTACTATTCATATAAATATTCCAATATTTACAAGATAGAATCTTCTCCAATACTATGCAATCCTTCAGGGAATCCTTCTGTGGTCAAATGAAGTAATCTACAGTTCATGAAATCTGGGTTCCCTGTAGAGAACAGCCGACATACACCTATTTGTTTGTTTGTTTATTTATTTATAAACACACACATATATACTGGAGATCAGCCCCACATTGTTCAACACACATGGGGTAACACTGCTTAAAACTATAGTTCTGAACAAATATTATTCCCTTGCCCTCACATTAGGTCAGTATGAATTAAAGACTTGCAATGAGGCTTCATTTCTGTATGAATCCAAACCAAAGGACTGAAGCCAAACAACTATTGAATATCAGGAAATGTTTTTATTCTGAGAAGCTTTATTTCAAATCCAGTTCCAACTTACGAGGAAAGATGATGGATTTATCTGTAAAGGTACACACATTTGTGCATTACCAATTCATAAATCACAATTTGCAATACAGCATGATCAGTGTAAATACAACACACTTGCAGATCAGAAGATACAGGCAGTTTGCATTACCATCGAATTTATCTCCTGTTTGCATACAGTTTAATTTCTACAGCAAAAGAGATCTGGCTAAATCTCTCCCATTTTGAAAAACCAATGACGCGATGATTGCTACATTGGTCTGAGCAGAAAGTTCATTTCTAAACAGAGAACACATAACAAAATGCCTTTAACAAAGCATTTAACAAAATGCCTTTAACTAATAAACTATGAGGAGACATGAAGAGATGATGGTATCCCTTGCAGCTAGTCTATGGCAACTTCTACGCATTTAGAGTATGGCACAGAAAAATAAATAACCTGATTAAATGAATCCACCTTACACAGCTGGGACTATGGCAGTAAGTGCCATGCAAAATTAGCTGTTGTGAATATGATGAGAGAGGATTAACAAAAATCGGATTCCTCCCCCAGCAGTGTGCTATATAGACTTGACTTCAGTGGTACATAAAGGGGAAAAAAAAAGGTGGGGGGTGGTGGGGGAATCTAAAATTTCTGAAAAAAACCTACCTACAGCTTCTCATACAGGCACATATTCTCACCCAGTCTCCTACCTACAAGAATCAAAGCCTTCCTCAGTTGACCACACTCTCCACGTCATTACCCATATTCCAGCTCAGAAGCGATGGTTATGCCTACAGAGATTCCTTTCTCTCTGTCATGTTGTACATCAGCATTCGGGGCTTGTTATTACACACTCTTCCAGCTGCAGGCATTCTCACACCTGTCTTCTTCGTAAATGTTTCCGAGTACTGAACAAATATTATAAAATGAGAATTACCTCTGTTCAGGCATGGAAGAAGGCATGCTAACACTCTTTGGGAAAATTGGTTTGTCTACTTCTTTTTATAAATTAAGCAATAAATTCAGATCTTGGATCAAAGAAGAGAGACATCTTTTTGGGTATGCTTAACTAGTAGAAAAGGCTTTTCTAAGAGTGATTACTTAACATTTCTTCTGCTGTACAGCAGGATTTTAAATATACCACTATTTATCATTGCTAATATATATTTTAATGAATGTGAGCATAATTATTCTAGAAGCATTATCACCAAGGCCTTAGAGTATTCCCACAACCTATAGCCACAAAATGCCTCACCAGTTTTACTTAGTTTTAATTGGGTATTTTGAGATCCTTGGCTAAATGGTATTATATGAATAAAATAATTATTGATGCACACAAAGTAACACACAGAGCTCAAAATCTATCCTGACACAAAACAGGCCTTCCAACTCAAGGCTTTTGGACAGAAACCACTACGTTTTTTAATAGAAACCAGTAAGTTTTTTAGTAGAAACTACTAAATTATACTGCCAAAATAAGCCATTTTTTAAAAATTGTGGGCAAATCTTGAAGCAGTAGAGGGTACTCAGTAGTTAAAGCTGGAACCTACTTTCCAAAATAAATCCAGTTTTGGCCCACACCTTACAATCCTCTATAAAGGCCTTTTCATCTTCAGATTTGGTATGCATGATTTGTGGCCAGGCAATGACTATTTGACCCAGCCAAAAGTTATTCAGAAAAGCCATTTCAGTAATCTGGGGTGGACAATACGTATGTGTTAATCGATCAGTGTTCTCTCCTATTCAGTGTCTACCTCCAAAATGGCTCGTTTCTAATGACTTGGTTTTCTTAGAGAGCTTACAGTGCTATAGAGCAGTACTGCACATTTTATAACGGGATACACAAAATTACTGTCAGACTGGCGCAGCACAGTCTAGCAGCCTGGTAGATAGTTTAAGAAAGGAAAGAAACCAGAACAGAGCTTGATCCATTACCACTTTTCCAAGTCAGTTTATTACTTGTGCAGGAGAAAAATAAAAGAAAAAGAAAATAAGGACTACAGCATTTTCTGGAGAGATATTAATTTTGATGGAAGACATATGGCTAAATCACCTGCTGGTTTTGAAAACACCACTTTGTTCCTTATCGGATGTTATCTTCACTGTCCTTATTTCTAATAATCAATTAATATACAGTAATCTCCAGCAAAATAGTTTGCTTTCTTTTTCTCGACATGTGAGGCAGACTTCCAGGAAGGAGACGCAGTGCAGCTTTGTAAGAGCAATCTTTTTCAGGATTGATATGCAAATTAACAAAACAAACCCTTTCCCTCTTTTTGTTTTGTTTCCTCAGCAACTTCCAAAGAAGCCCTTGACTCAGCAATATTTTTCATATTTGTGACAGTGATGAATTCAAGTGTGATAATTACAAATTCTAGTCACAGTTGATACAAGCAATGTCTGTTTAGAAACAGATGATAATTTGGTTTTATGCACACGATAAAAAGCACCAGAGATTGCTAGCGTTGCATTAGCCCCACCTGCGGTGCCTTACTGAGGCGTTTCCAAGCGGATCTGCAGAATTCCCTCCGGCACAACTGTCAGCCACAGGGTTTGTCAGCGTGAAGTGGAAGCCTAGCTCGGAAAGCAGAGGATACCTCAAAGTTGCCAAGAGCTTTCTTTACACTTTCAGACAAACACTTCATAAAGCAGTTTGTTCTACTTATCTGTTAGGTAGAATGGGGGGGGGGGGGGGCGGGGAAGGGGGGGGGGGGGGGAGCTTCTGTTTCTCACAAGTGTGGTTTTTTGTTGTTGTAGTTCTTTACTCAAATGTATTTTGCAGAAAGAGTGAAGTGTGCCAACTTTGACTGCAAAACTGGAAATTTGGACCATTAACTCCATATTCTTATACTATACAAGTCAAATATTGTTTTGTATACTCAGGATAAGGGTTTTTTAATAAAAAGTAAAGGGAAAAGAATTTACAGTTAGTAAAAAAAAATATATATATCAAAAAAGGTTGTAAAAAAAATATCAAAAAAGGTTGTCTCAAAGAAATAACAAAGTTTAAGGTGCTTTCAGACCTCTCCCAGCAGAATACATAAGCAGACAGCTAGGTGTTCTCTTGAACAGAGAGATTGTACTGGATAAGTGCAAAGTCTTTTAAAGGAGGATCTTTCTCGCATGTCAGATTGCAACAATTCTCATTGTCGCTGCTGGGGTGGGTTTTTTTTTTTTTTTTTGTTTGTTTTTATAGTCTATCCATAGACTATTTGTCTATTAATTGTCTGTTACATGAATAGATCCAAAGTCAGGGATGATCACTACATTATTTTTGTTTCTTGTAACACTGTCTGGTAGAAGAAGACCCTCTTCAAACCTTTTATTTATTTTAGAGAAGGCAGATGTTAATGCAGGAAAGAGTCCCTGCTCTGCCTTCTGTCACTGCAACAATCTACGTATTTCTACATATTCATGTGTCATCACGGTATGTGAGCACCTATCAAAGTGAGCCAAAAAGGAAGGTCAGATAGACTACAATTTTAAAAAGCAAGATTTCAAAAGCTAAACATTGAACTACTCTCTCTCATAACTCCACTAACTGCAGTGGAATTACAGCAAGGATGAGTCTGACCCTGTATGACTTAATTACAATATATTTTATGCTTATTATACACATTCATTTCTTTTTCTGCAAGCCTGCTA